GAAATGAGGGGGGAGAGCCCCTATTTATAGGTTTCCGCGTCGTCAGGTGGCGAGACCGCCGGCCTCGCTCGACAGCGAACGAGACCGCCGTCTCGCACAACGAGACCGCCGTCTCGTTTGACGCAAGCAACGAGACCGCCGTCTCGTACAACGAGACCGCCGTCTCGTTTTGCATAAGCAACGAGACCCCGGTCCGGGTGAGCGAGAACCCGGTCTCGCTTTCGTCGTCAACGAGACCCCGGCTCGGGCGAACGAGACCCCGGCCTCGTTTCGTTGGCAACGAGACCCCGGCTCGGGTGAACGAGACCCGGCCTCGTTTTCGTTGGCAACGAGACCCGGCTCGGGTGAACGAGACCCCGGCCTCGTTGGAGCATCTGTCGCTCAAGCGAGTACATGTGAGTACATCGGCCGCTTGAGCGAAACTCGACCCTAGCAGCCCCCTTTGGTTGCAGGCATCCGTCGCTCAAGCGAGTACACCGGCCGCTTGAGCGAGATTCGACCCGGAAGTCCTCTTTGTTTGCGGCATCCGTCGCTCAAGCGAGTATATGTGAGTACATCGGTCGCTTGAGCGAGATTCGACCTGGAAGTCCTCTTTGTTTGCGGCACCTGCCGCTCAAGCGGCGGACGTACTCGCTTGAGCGAGACTTGACCCGGGAGTCCCCTTCCACGCGAGAAACTTTATTTTGGGCCGAAAAAACCTTCCCATCTTGGTACGGGAGCCTAATAGTCTCTCCTAGTGGCTTGTTAGGCTTCGGCCGTCTTCGAATAGGGGATCTTCTGACTTTATTTAGAGCCCGGGCAAGATTTGGGGTCTACAGTCTATAATTGATCCAACTCCGATCCATTGTTACAAATCTAATTTTCAAAATCAAATTAGCTACAGAAACACGAAATAACTACATTATAATGCCTACACGAAATCCAACTCCACTCTCAAAATAACTACATTATAATACAAATCTAATGTTCAAAATCAAAATCACGAAAGAATGCCTACAGAAACACATTCAAATGACTAAACTACTTACAATACATCTCTAAATTAGCTAAAGGCACCCGTGATGTTTCCCTCTCTTAACAGCATTATTACTTACTAGATTCAATACTGTAAACCTACATTGGCTAAAGCAAGCACGAAAACTTACCTCTTGAAGACCTACAGAGGTGGCAGGTGGCGTGACGTGCAGAGCTGGGTGGAGAGAAACGTATCCCAGGCGACGGGCACCAGTAGCAGCAGGCGGCACGAAGCGTTGGCAGGTGGCGTGACAAGCAAATGTGGGTGCGGATAAACGTATACAAGCGAACGGGGGAGCTCTGGTATGGGTGAACTGATGAAAGGAAATGGAGCGTAGGGAGAAACGTACAGGGGAGCTCTGCTATGGGGGGAAGTGATGAAATGAAATGGAGCGCGGGAGGAGGGTAAAACAGAAGATACTATGTCGGTTGCCCTAACACCCGTCATCAAAGACACTTTCTACGTCGGTTAAAATTTACCCGACATAGAAAGTTCTATGTCGGGTAAATTTTAACCGACGTAGAAAGTGAACTTTCTATGTCGGTTAAATTTTACCCGACATAGAAAGTGACCTTTCCACTTACTATGTCGGTTAAAACTTACCCGACATAGAAAGTTTATGATTTTATTACAAAATTGCCATCGCGCCACATACTATGACGGGTGGATTACGACCGTGATAAAAACCCGTCATAGAAAGCTATTTTTCCACTAGTGTATAAGAAAGGTTAATGTTAAATTTACTACATAATTTCATAATAAAAAGTATTAATGTGTTGATATTTTAAAATTTTAATTAATTCTTATTAAATTTAATTATTTTCTAACTGTCATAACTTGTATTTGTCAAATCAAATTGATATATATATATATATATATATATATATATATATATATATATATATATATATATATATATACTTTAAGTTAATTTAATATTTTTTTATTATTACTTAAAAATATTTTTAATGTAGGGAAAAATAATAATATATTATATCTTTACACACTATCATATTTATTTTACCTTAATTTTATTATTAAATATATTATTATATTATTATTATTAAAGAATGCATTTTCTTTCTTTATACTACGTTTATCATTTAATTTTTCACTGTATATACTTTTTGGATTATTAGGAATGAGATGATATTCAGATAATATTTGGAGGGAAAATATATTTAAAGAAAAAATTAACTTTTTATGTTATTTGAGAGGAGGTGAGTGTTTTTGAAAAATGGAAAAAAAAATATGACTTTATGAATGCCTGATTCATGTTAAACTATAGTATATTTATCTTGTGCTTAAAAATTATTAACTTGTATAAAGTTTATTTAAAACCTGTTTCTAATTTATTTATTTTTACTGACAACAAAAATATATATTAAAAATAAACCCTATATGCTATTCTTATAAAAAAAATCATATTAAAGTGAAATATTTGCAATTTTCGTGGTCAACGACCCATGTGAAGCATGTTTTCCCAAAAAAAAAATCAGTTATCACCATTTAAGTCAACGCACTGCGTTATAATAGGGAAGCCCATAAAAACGTGGAATATGTATATATAAACGTGATAAACGGTATTTATTCAAATGGAATAATAAAGAACTATATTATTTCAAATAGTTATTTTAGAGAAAAAATTACAGTTTAATAAATTTTGAATGAAAAAACCTAAAGATAAATGTAACTTTTCAAATAAAATAAATAAATATAAAAATATCAAATGTTAAATGTCCTATTATTTTTTTTATCTTATTCTTTATTTTCTCCTAACTCAACTATTATAAATGAAGTACTAATTAAAATAAAATTATGATTGAATAATGAAAAAACTCTTAAAATAATTCATAAACTAACAATACAATATTTTTAAAATAAAAAGCATGTTATTCATTTTAATTATTTTTATTTTTAATACGAATTTCTATTTAATATGTAGATAGATAAAGTGTATTTTTATATTAAAAATGAAAAGAACATGTTTAGTGATAATAATCACGAGAAGAAGAAAATTTTGCAAGAAGTGGGATGATCAAAATATAGTGTAAAAAATATTTGATAAAAGAAAAATATAATGTTATATTTGCTAAAAATTATATAATTTTTGCATATGCTACAACAATAAAGGAAATACAAGTGAAGGAAAACAAAGGATATAAGAAAATAGTGATGATTCTAATTCAAATAATTTTTTTTTTATGATGATAATACAAATCTGATTATTGATATTTAGATATGGGGTGTTTAAATCACATTATTGAAAAAAAAAGTGGTTGTTATTATAATGAAAGAGTAAAAAAATGTGAAGTTCTTATATAATAATTAAAGGGATGAATAAAATTTTGATTTAAACAAAAGATGAAAAATGAGTATTCATAATTGATATTTTTTATATATCACAAATGAAAATCAACTTGTTAAATTTTGAATAACTAATAAAAAAGATTATCCAATGAGAATGAAACAAAATATGATAAAAATTTATGACACTAGGAGAAAATTAATTTTAGAGGATCATTTGTTAAACAAACAACCTTTAAAATTTAAATTCAAATTAGTGAAAGTCACTCTTTTATAATTATTATAGAATATCATAATTGATTTTGACTTGTGCGGCTCAATTTTAGAAGCTTAAGTCTACCAAACATGAAAGGGATAGTGCATGACTTGTCTTTTATAGAGTAACCAAAGGAGTTATGGGAAATCTCTCAAATGAAAAAAAAAAAAAAAAAAAAAAAAAAAAAAGACCTAACTAGAAACCCCTTTAATCCAACATTCAAGTAGCAAAATCATAATTGAAAGTCATCTATCCAAATGTGTATGATCTTAGTAAGGTATTTTCACTTAAAGTTAATTGATGTTTCATTTCTTATGTTGATGGTTTTAGAAGAAAGTTGTCACTTTACTTTATTAGAAAAATAATGAGGTGTTTAAAAGGTTAATACAATGGTGAAAAAACAATGTGGACAATCTGTCAAGGTACTTAAAATAAATGAGATGGGGAATATATCTTAAATGATTTTTATTCTTAATGTGATAAGAAAAGTATAATTCATGAAATTACTACTCCAAATACTCCTTAACATAATAGAAAAGTTGAAAGAAGATATAAAATGTTAGTTATCATAACAAGATATATGTTTAAAGAAAAGTTGCATCTACTACAGCCTATTTTTGAACAAAAAACCAACTAAGAACCTATATAATGTGGCATTAGAGGAAGCATGATAAGGAAAAAAACCTACAATATGTCGTTTATAAATATTTGTTTATCTTTGCTTTAGACATGTATCGATTAAAAGAAGAAAGAGTTAGACGATAAGGAAGAGTCAATAGTATTTCTTGGATATCTTTCAATAAGTGCATATAAATTATATAATCCTATTAGTAAAAAACCATTGATGAGCATAAATATTATTGTTGATGAAAGTAAAGGTTAGACTTGGAAAACTACAGTTAAAAGTGATAAAGTGTATATGCATAAATGATTTAGAATCAATCACATAAATAACATGATTATTGAGTATAAATAATTTGATTTTTTCCACCATACCTCAAATAAATGGGCAAACATCAAATATTTTGAGATTTTACATCTATTCCCGATTATGTAGTGAATGAACATAAGGATGGATCTTGATCATTTATTTTGAGGGGACGAAATAATATTTATTAATAAATAATAAATAAACATAAAAAGACAAAAGAATAAGAAATAGTGAGATGTCAAATTTGTAATATATACAATTATGTATATTTAATAATCAATAAGTTTGGGAGGGTCAAAATCATACATGTTAATGAAAGTTACAAAACTTTAAAAATAATAGGAAACAAAAATCATAAATATTAATATAAGTTACAAAATTTTTGGCGGTATAGTCTTCCTCATCTCCCAAAAAGGTATGTCACTACATAAGGACATAAATAAAGCTAATCGTTTGAGCAAGCTATCAAGAAACCTAATTGAAAGGCAACAATGGAGGAAAAGTTGAGGACTTTAGAAAAAAATTTACACATGGAGCTTGTCACATTACCTTACAAAAAGAGGCCTATCAAAGTGAAACGAGTCTATAAAATGGAGGTAAACCAATTGGATAAGTTGTAAAATAAGGTTAAGTTAGTTAAAAAGGGGTTTTTGTAAAAAGTTTGTTTAAATTACAATAAAATGTTTACATTTGTGGCCATAATTGAAACCACCTTTAGCAACTAATTATTACATCAAATTGATGTAAAGTTTGCTTTTTTAAATGGTGTATTAAAGGAGAAAATTTTCGTAGATCAACCATTTTAAAGTAATAAAACATGAAAATAAGGTATATAAATTAAATAATTTTTTATAAGGATTAAAACAAGTTTCTTGAGCCTAAAATAAAATAATATACTACTTCCTTTTGCATTTAGGTTTCAACAAGTGTACAACATAATATAGAGTTTATATAAGTGATTTAATGATAGTTTGTCCCTATGTAAATGATTTACTAGTTATTGACAACAATATAGTAAAAATCAAGAAGTTTAAAAGTATAATTATGTTTGAGATGACAAATATGGGATATCAATACTTAATGGAGTTTTTATGCATCAAAATAGGTATGCAACTAAAGTATTAAAATGATTTCATATGTTGGATTGTAATTGTGTCCGATCACCATTTGATTGTTGTACAAAGTTAAAGATGAAAGTGACAAGATAATTGATGCAACCTTATCCAAACAAATGGTGGATTTCATCTTATTTATATTTTCGTCACGTAAATGTTAAGACACTTTTAAATATAAATATAAAAATAAAATTAAAGTGAAGTAAAATAAAATACACAAAAAAAAAATTACAAACAATTACTTTTTATAATCATTTTTTCATTTTCTTTAATCATTTTATTGTCATGTAATACTTATAAATGTACATATCATGTAATGAGACAATAACTCGTTTTCACATATCTCTCAATTGCATGATTTTTTTTCAGTGTCTTATTTCGTTCGATTCAAAGTCTTGAACTTAACATTCTCAAATATTTGATTTTCAATGTTCCATTGACTACATCATACTTTCGATTGACTACGTCATACTTTAGCTTGACTTTTGATTTATTCAACTCAATATCTTTTATCGATAATACACATTTTCAAGCATTTCCTATTCATAAACATTCATATTCCAATTCATTGCTTTAGATTAACCTATATACTCGTAATTGACTCTTTTAGTCTCGATATTCAATCCTTTATAACCTTAATTTTCTTTTTTCATCACTATTATTTTTTTTAAGATCTCTCATATTTCTCGATTTATTCCTTTCGATATATTTACAAATTTGTCAATAACAAACACGTAAATGACACTTTGGGATATTGACTTTTGTTTTCAAAATATAACAAAAATATGTTTGATGAAGTATTTAATTATTGTGATTTAAATTGGTGTGGTGATAAAAGTGTAAAAAAAAAATGTGAAACACCCGTTAGGTGATATTTTTAAGAAGGAAGAAGTGGTGATATTTTCTTTCATTAAAACTAAATGCATTTCATTCCAATGAGAACATGACAAAAATACAACGAAAAAAGTATTATATATAATTATGTATTTTTTTATATAATTATGTTATCTTTTTCACATTAACAGAGAAGCATCTTATAAATTCTAACATATTTTTATTTTTATAATTTTTTTATTTTAAATAAATATTTTTTAATTTTTATTATTAAATTAATTTTTAAAAAATTAAATGAAAAATATAAAATCACGAGTGCTTAACCTATTAAAATTATATTTTTATTTTTATTTGAAATTAAAATAAAAAATGGATTATAAGTGTTTAATGTAAACACCGGCCTCATATCTTATAAAATGGTAAGAAATAATTAAGAAAAATATTTTATTTGAAATTTAAATAAAAAATGCTGAATTAGGGGTGTTTTTAGTGAATGCTTGGAAGAAATGTGATGTAAGAGTTGAATAATTTTCTTTTTAAAATTGTAATTAAGAGGAGAGGAGGAAAAAGTGTTACCTAGGTATTGTCCATGTATAGAAGTGTAGTGTAGTGGACGGAGAAGGAACGACACCGTCCAATACATATGCGGCTGCGAAGATCTCTCAAACCCAGTCCACATTCTGAGGGTCCCACGATGAAACTAGCACTTGCCCTCTCGTAGTCTCGCATATAAAATATGTTGTCGTATTTCTGAAAAGGAAAATAACAGAGAAAAGAAAAAAGCGTTATCTCTTTCAATTTCATCCTCTGGAATTAAGCCCCAAAATTCTTAGCCGTGAGCTCAATTTAATTTGTGCTCACAATGGCTTGCACACTCGCTGATTCATTACTCCTTTTCAAGGTTTACTTTCCATTCCTATTCTTCTTCCCTTTTCTTTCAACCGCTTGAAGCTTTCATGCAAGTGTTAGTCTTATCATGGTTTCATTTTTCAGGGCTCTTTTCAGAAACCAGTTCTCAGGAGAGACATTGCTTCTCACTACTCCCCAGGTAATCCAATTTGCTGCTCCTTGTCGCAATTTAAGCTCGATATATTGGAAATGGACCTTTTCGATTATAAGATATTGAAGAAAAAGGATTAATTATGCTTTAGTTAGTCAAATGTAAATGATTTTAATTTTTGTTTCCAAATTAAAAAAAAAACATATTTTAGTCTTCAATTGAAAAAAATAAATCCCTAATCAATAAATTTGAGAGATTTTTAAAACTGTTTTTAATCCTTGAATTGTCTTATTAAATTTGAAAGATTAGAATTTTATTTAATTTGAATGAGTAAAAAAGAATATAGTAAAAAGATAATCATCACAAATACTAGTATCGACTTCGTCGAATCGTGGCTACAAAGTTAGTTGCATTAAATACTCAGAGTACTATGCATTTCACTCGAATAAGATTCTCTTCTGTGAAGGATAGTGTAGTTTCTACCAAAAAAGAAGTAATAACGTAACTTCTTTTGTGTTATAAAATATAACTAGCTACCATTACCTGATGGTATCAGTGATCAATATCACTTGGTCATAAAGTTGAAGTTATAAGCTGGCCTGGACTCTGTAATGAGCCATTATGTTTAACTTTTAATAGGCATGAACATTTCTGATGTATGTAATGGGTGCATTTTAAAGTATTATTTGTCATTCTTCTACCCACAGGCATATTTAGTATAAACAGTGATGGGCTTATCGGGAAAGGGTTCAGGCGTCAAAGGAATTTTGTCACTAGGAATAAGGTTACTGTCATACGTGCTGTGGCAGTTCCAGTACAACCAGCTCCTGTGGAAAGTGCGGAGTATAGAAAACAACTAGCTGAAGACTACGGTTTCAGGCAAATTGGACAGCCGCTTCCAGCTGATGTTACTTTAAAGGATGTCATGAATTCCCTTCCTAAGGAGGTGCTTTATTATTATTATTATTGTTAATTAGATCAATGCCTTGTTAGCAGGATCATTGAACGGGACTTTTGTGTTAAATTGTAGTATGCAGAGTCACCTCTTAGATACTCTACGTTTTTCAGAGAAATATTTGTTCATGCGCTTAAAGTAGCATTCGTTGTGGCATATAAGTTTATAATAAAACATCAATAACAGCAGTAATATTTTCTGCACATTATGAGAAAGATAAATTATTTTACATTCTTTTGCAGGTCTTTGAGATTGATGATGTGAAAGCATGGAAATCTGTTTTGATATCTGTCACTTCTTATGCAATGGGGCTATTCATGATTTCCAAAGCTCCCTGGTATCTTCTTCCTCTGGCTTGGGCATGGACTGGGACTGCAATAACTGGGGTTAGTTATTATTTTATTTCTTAGTGGTATCTCAGATCCCTCTCAAGCATATCTCTACCTTAAAGATCTTGGACAATTTTTTTTATGTTTTTATGTTTTCTGATCCTCTTTCCTTTTTTGCCACACAGTTCTTTGTTATAGGACATGATTGTGCTCACAAATCATTTTCATCCAACAAATTGGTAGAAGACATTGTTGGAACCCTGGCTTTTATGCCATTGATTTATCCATATGAACCATGGCGATTTAAGCATGACAGACATCATGCAAAAACAAACATGTAAGCAGCGTGTTTTCCTTCTACTTTTTGTATTTTCGAATTTCTAGATGCATCTTGTATGTATACTGTAGAGGGACTGATTAATATTTTTATTTAATATGCAGTGCAAAACATGTTCTTTTAGTCCTCAAATCCACCCTTGTAAATTTATATTTGAGTAGATTAGTCAAGGAAAAAAAAAATTCTGCTTAAAATTGATAGTGGGATAATGAATCATTATTTTGTACATTATATTTATTTTTCCAGTATACTTTCACACTCTCCGCCCCAGATGTAATCAAAGTCAGGTGGTACTAATACTGAAAGAATAAAATACAGGCTATATACAACATGCATAATGCACTGTAAGAGACATAATGCTTCTTGGTAACATCATGTTATGGACAATATCCTGTTCCTTGGTTTATTTACATGATGCACACAAATGTATATAAGGAACTCCTTAGTTTCGGACAGAGATAGACCTTGGAAAGTTTATATGTGAAGAGATAAAAAGCAAACTGAGACTCCGTAGGCCTGAATTATTGTGTTTGTGTAGTAATTGTGTCTGTAGGCAACTATTTAGGCAGTTATTGAACTGAATTCTTATTTTTGTGCATTATTCCTGTCTTCATGCAATTGAATTGTATGATAGCAGGAATTTAACAGTCTCACACAGAATCAGTAGCTTCACTATTTCATTACTTTCATTTAACTGTAAGCCATTTATAATGCTACAGGCTGTCTGAAGATACTGCTTGGCAGCCTGTTCAGAAGGACGAGTTTGAATCTTCACCACTTTTGAGGAAAGCAATAATATATGGATATGGTCCATTTCGATGTTGGATGTCTATAGCTCACTGGTATGGCATTAATGGAATCATTATTTATCATTTCTTCTCTAAGGTCAACTATGCCTTGAAATATCTTGTACATGTCCTTGAGTACTGCTTCATTAGCTTAAGTGCCTTGATTTGATACTTAATTATCTTTAGTTTTAAATCAAATCTTTATATAGAGTTGCATTCTAACACAGGTTGATGTGGCACTTTGATTTGAAGAAGTTCAGACCAAGTGAAGTAAATAGGGTGAAGATAAGTTTAGCGTGTGTTTTTGCCTTCATAGCAATTGGATGGCCATTAATTATTTACAAGACTGGAATACTGGGATGGATAAAATTCTGGTTGATGCCATGGTTGGGATATCACTTCTGGGTAATTCAATTCTATCTTGTAAATTCATACTTTGTTTATCCGTGTTGGCTCCAATGTTTTTGTTTCTTTCTTCTTGTTTGGATGGGTAGTAATGACTTACCACATATTTAGCCACGGTAATGTTGCAGCCAATTTTAGTAATCAGGAATTGGGTTAAACTTTTGATTTATGTTTTGCATTGGTGTTAGTTAGCAAAATCCATCTATGGTCTTATTGTCAGCCCCGAGTCTGGCTAATGAAGGAGGGCTTTAGGCCCTTGATAACCAATTTAAAACTTGTTGAATCTAAGCATGGGTCACTCGTGATAGATTATAATAGAGTCCAATGACTTCATATAATTCATCTAGCAAACCTCATTAAGTGCGATAAGGTTTTTTGTTGTAGTGTTACTGGTGTTAGTTGGCAGTTAGTGCCAAACTTGAATTCAGATATAAAACTTGTAACCTTCTGTTTAGGGACTGAAAAAAAATACGAGACTATCCCTGTTAGCATTTGTATTCTGCCAGAAACTGAGGTCAGTGTCATAGTTTTAGACTTAAAATATTATAGCCAGGGATTGATCTGATAATGGGAGGGGGTCCAGTAACAAATGGCCTGCGTAGTCACTAAGTTTTATTTAATCGATTGGTATGTTAATTTATGAACGGGTTGTTATTTTTAAAGTAAGAGACCTTAATAAAGTATAGGATAGGAAAAGTTTTAGAAGAAGGCTGTAGTGTTCCTGTCAGTGAAGAAGATAGATTTTCAGTCTAAACTTGAATGAGAATGCACAATAGTACGTTGAAAATTACACCAATTGTCTTATGATAGAGATCAAGTGCCCTAAGTCAAAATCAAATCATGCGACTTAGTGGTAACTGTAATCCATTAATTGGTATCTGAACCAATGTTGAGTTTGATCTCAACAGGGCATTTTATCTAGCGAGAGATTTTTGTAGGGTGCATTAATTGTTGTGCAGCAAAGGTCAGGAAGGCAAGTTACAATCAAATTATGGTGTTTAGGCTTTCACGCATTGACTATCAATTATAGATTTTGACTTAGTGGTAAGCATTTAATCCAACATAATAAAATATTGAACAACTCACCAATGCCTATCAAGTATAACGGACCTTGGTTCCTTTTAATGAAGGTTTTGAGTTTCAAGTTTTGTGAATGAGAAAAAAAAAGGTACTAGAGAGTTTTATCCCCAGTAACGAGGGCCTAAGACAAAAAAAAAGAAGAAAAAAACGAAGGTATCATACAACGATCTAATTGTGGATGAAGTCTATGGTATATGAGAGCAATGTTTATTTGCTTAACAAAATGACCATTTATTTATTGTTTGAATGTTGCTAAATAATTTACAATGCTCGCGAATAATGTTGGCTTTTGAATTGTTGAATTATTTGAATGTTGGTTAATAATTTACAAAATAGCCTTCATGTAACGTTGTGTTTTGAATTGTTTAACTATTAATGTTTACCCCCCCCCCCCCCAAATAAAAAAAAAAAAAAAGAAATATACTATGGGCTATCAACACTCTTAGAGTTTCTCTTGAAAGTTAAAAATTATAGTGAGTCACGCTGTCTAGGTGATGTTATATTTATTTTACTGGCGATCACAGATGAGTACGTTTACCATGGTACACCATACTGCACCGCATATACCATTCAAAAACTCAGAAGAGTGGAATGCTGCACAAGCACAGCTTAATGGAACTGTTCATTGTGATTACCCTAAATGGTAATGGATTCTTTTTGCATCTTTCCTTTGTAATTTACGTTTTTATGGCCTATAAATTTACACATGGAGGTGGAATATACTGCATAACTGATGTGTTACTGCTGCATGCTCTTTATTTCATTACTTTATCTGAAAATGTCTGATCTTCGATTCTGTAAAAAATATTTAAAAAACTATCCTTCTTGTCATTTTGTCTAAAATGCAGGTTTTCAAAATTAACTTGATAGCATTAGCATTAACTAACTGCTATTTGTTGACTTTTTTTTTTTTTTTTTTTCTTAACAGGATCGAGATTCTATGTCATGATATTAATGTCCATATTCCACACCACATATCCCCGAGGATACCAAGCTATAATTTAAGAGCAGCCCATAAGTCCCTTGAAGAAAACTGGGGAAAGGTAAGATAGAAAAATGCCAATATATTTTGTCTGTTCCTGTATTGGATTTGGAATGAGGGCCACTGTTTTACTGTTCGCTTTAAATATATTACCAGCAATTTTATCATAATTGATAATAATGGCTTTTTTACTTCCTCTTAAAAAAAAGAATTTGTCAGAATATTCTCTTTGACACTGAAACTTACTGTAGATGTAGTCCGTATAAAAGATTTGTAAATTTTGTTAATTCCAATATTACATTTGTCTCGAATCCCGTACGTTTACGACCTCTCAAAGAACATATCACTGCTGCTAATTATTTCTATTTTGTTTTGTTTGTGTTGGAGCGACAGTATCTAAATGAGGCTAGTTGGAATTGGAGATTGATGAAGACAATCATGACAGTGTGTCATGTGTACGATAAGGAGCAAAATTATGTTGCCTTCGACGAGCTTGCCCCTGAAGAATCTCGTCCAATTACATTTTTGAAGGAAAGCATGCCTGATTATGCTTAATTAGGTCCAACCTGGCATTTTTCTCATCTGAAATTTTTGTATGGCATCAATTTTAGTTTACATTTTCGTTCTAGTTTAAAATGTTTTATTTTTCATATCTCGTATCACGAGATAATTGCATGCTGCTCTCAAAGTTTACACATATTAGGGTAATCATACAACCAAGTTGCGGATCATCCGAGGCCAAGCCACCGAGAAGCATTCATTAAGTTAAATAACTCTGAACAGTGGGGTTCTTGTTATCACGTTGGAAGAATAATATATTATAAAGTTGTCTGACGGATAAAAAAACACGTGGAGAGTGGATTGAGAGCCCATTGAGTTACTCCTGTACTGACAATGTTATTTATTATTGCTCTTTTGTATTATATTATATTGCTGAAATTTAAGTATACAGTTTCTATATTAAAAAAGAAATATACAGTTTCTTTTTATCTAATGAAAAGTTCATATTCAACCATAATTGTTTACAAGTTCAAAAGTGGAAGTGTTCGGTACCATCTTCAAAGCATGAACAAGCCCAATCGATCCCAATCGATCTTGTCTTTCTATTTTTCCCGATAAATAATGTCTAAGTTTGATTAAAGTATCTTTAGAACTTCGACAACGAAAGTGTCCGGTTGTTTCTCGTCCATTCACCTCGTAGTATCTAACAACTTTGGGATTTATGTGTGTTTTTGACGAATTTGATGCAGCCGAAAGAGTTGAAGAGATATTCTGTGCGTAGTTTATATCGAGAAAGTGACCTAAAAGCCGCAAACAACTCCACTCACGCCACCAGTGACGCTTTACCTGAAGTGATTCTTATTGAAAGCAAATCCATAAGGTGCAGCCGTTTCAACTTACAACTGCTCACACATGGGAAGGGACTTCACTTGGCATGATTCCCTTCATCTTTTTTAAGGTCAGTGAAGTCACGTTACCAAATTTAAACCGCAGTGTTAGTTGTGAAAGAAAAAAGGTAAAAAATGCGTCAGGAAGAAGGTGTGTCCTTTTATAAAAGAAAAGAAACAGAATATGGGGGCTGGTTCGAATTTAGAAATCTGAAGCGATGTATGAAATCCGAGTCACAAAAAGAAACGGGAAATGAGTAGTCCATATATCATCTTTCTCTGTAGATATTCCACATATCCCATTACACCTATAGTATAGGTAAACCTGTGACAAGTTATCTCGTATATACAAGTTTCAAAACTCAACACTATCTGGAAAACCAGAAGCAGTCTGGTTTAGCAAACCAAGGAAAAGTAACCGTGAACTAAAACTAAAACTAAAACTAAAAGTAAATCATATAATTGGTGGTGTTGGAGTCTCCCAAATATCAAACACATTCTCCTCACTGTGAAGCGCGAAAAGCCTGTCCCCTCCGATGGAAAAGTCACATATTGAGCCCCCATAGCTTCGTCTAAGCCTAGAGGTCAAAACCCATTCAGGGCCACAGAACACTGAAATGCAATCATTCATGGAGGAAAAAAGCTGTCCCCCATGCAGTGCCAATTTGGGGTAACACGGTTCCTCCGGCATCTTCCCCTTCATCAACCTACTTCTGGAGCTCCACCTAATGCCCGTGGCAGCGGAACTTCTCAAATCCATGAATCCCAAATCCTCAAACTCATTCACCACACAGATGGAACTATTATCCTCCATGGCAATAGCATCCCTCACCCGTTTCTCATCCACGGCAAAAGGAGCCCCCACATCAGACCAACACCACACCATCTTTTTCTCTCTAAAATCCAAAAGACTTATGTAACAGTTGTCCTTCCTAGGAAACATAGTAGCCACCAATAAACAATTACACCCTTCCAACCACTGAAGCTTATCAGCATCCCCAAGAGACCACCCCAAAGGCTCGGAGAAAAAATCAATCTGCTTCCCGGTAACCTGGTCCCAAACCCCTACCCCGTACTCGTTACTCCTCCCCTTACAACTAGAAAATATCTTGTAATCCGAACTAAAACTCAAAGCCCCAGCAGTGTAACTCTTCACCTGATTCTCATGACAAACCTGAAACTTATACCTAAGCTCTCCGCTGTGTGAACTGAACAGCCCCATTCCACCATCACCCCTCCCAAGGCGTTCGCTCACTCCGATGACAACGTTGTCGGAGTCAACCCACCCGACATCATTAACCCTCTGGTAATCGAGGTTAAGAGGAGGGTGTTCATCCAACATCCAATCGTACACATGAACCATGCTGCCATGCGCAACGCAACAGCCACCATCAGGGCCTGCCCGAATGGCTGTTCCGTCACCCGGAGCCTGGCCCTGCAGAGACTGCGACAACCTTAACCTGTTGCCGTCGAATGGGCCCCACTTGGCGGAGCGCACGTGATCCAAGACGCCGTAGTAGAGGGCCTCCCTGTAGAGGAGCTTCTCCGGAATGTTGGGTGGGATGTGGAGTTCGCCGGTTCGGAGCAGATCAAGGAGAATCCCGAAGCAATCCGGGTTGCGATCGAGGAATCTCTCGCCCTCCTTGTTTGATGATAGTATCAGGTTCCAATTATCGTCGAACATTGCACCGAACATTGAATTGCGCCCTGCATTGGCGAGGGTTGTTGCGGTTGTTTCCATCACCCTACCACCCACGTTGAATTTCACCCTATCTGTCTGAAATCCCATGACTCGATTCTGTTCAAGATTTTGGCTTTTCCAGAAACCCCGATGGGGAAGGAGATGGGTGTTCAATCCAACGCCTCTGCAGGGTTGAATTGAATGGAATTGAATTGGATGATGGATGAACTGGGAAAAGCAGAGAATGGGTGGGAATAAATAGGACTGATTTTGTTGAAGAGAGTTGAGTTAATGATTGCGGTTGAAGGATTGGAATTAAAGCAAAGGGTATGTGTGCATGTGTGAAGCAAAGGGATGTATGAGTGTGTCCGATGGGATCAGAGGACAGAGATTAAGCAACGGGAAAATGATGGGATTGTGGGAAAACTAGACATTGGGATGGTTATTGTATTATAAGAGACTGCATTTAAAAAAGGGGGTTTTGAAGCTGGGTGTGTGATTTGGTGAAGGAATCAAGATGGGTGTAGCGGTTGGAATTCAAAACTGAATTGTCTCACTTTCATCTCTCCCTCTAAGTCCCTCTGTTTTTCTTCTCTCTCTGTGTTCTTGCTTTTTTTCTTTTTTGTTTCCTTTGTCCCTCCCTTCCTCCTTGTTCTGCCATTGGCTGCGGGACACATGCCATGATGTAGAAGATTTGAAGATGTTCTTCAATCCCAAATTTTAATGTATAGACTTTAAACTATAATTATTTGAACAGTCACTGGTTGATTTGGTAAACCATTTTATGCTATATAGATATTAAACTAAAAAAATCTAATCTAATTAAGTATACTTGTGTTAATTTTTCATATTTGTTGTTATATTTAAAAATTCTACATTTTGTAATGATTTTACATTGTAAATAATCTACATTAAGGCTTTGTTTGGATGGAGTGATTTGAGAGAGTGGAAATGAGGGAGTGGAAAAGGAGGGATTTGAAGAGAAATGGAGATGAATGTAAAGTGAAAGGAAAGTTTATGGGAAATTGTGAATGATTTGATTGATATGAGATATAAAAATTATAATTTTATGTTGATTATTTAAGAAAATTACCATTTTACCCTTTGTATAAAATAAGGTTCAATTCAAATGATTATAAATATAAAATTTTAATTAATTATCCATATTTTAACATTGATTATATATTTAAAAGAAAAAACAAAATTAAAAGTGTTTGTAATTGGAAACAAATTTAAAAAATTAACTTTTTTTAGATAGATATTAAAAATTATATAAATAAACAATTACAAAATTATGTACATTGCATATCCATATTCAAAAAATGTTGACATATTAAATAAAATATTTGACTAATAATTAAATAATTATAAAATATAAAATAATAATTAATATTGATTGATAATAACAAATAATTATGAAAACTAATAATATAATTGTACATTATTATTTAAAACAAATATAAAATACAAGTAAAAATAGAATAATAATTAAAGGAAAGATTACTAAAATTATAAATCTATGCACACTAATGCTCTTCAAACAAATAATTATAATCTTATCCATCTTTTGCAATCAAGTCTTCCAGTTCAGATCATTCAATCACCTCCATTCAAGAACATGAACAACTGGGAGAGACGAAGATGTGAGGGCAAGCCAAAAAGTCGTCTAACATGTGATGGGTGAGTACAAAAATGATTATAACACTGAAGCATAAGTTGCTCGTCATTTAGGTACAAGTTTTCAAATGATCGATTATTGTGCCAAAATGATCGATCACTTTTCCAAAACCTCGACACTTTAGATAGCGGTTCACCTGGAACCCCTATCATATGTTAACATATGATAGCGGTTCTAGAATAACTACTATCTAAAGGCTCTGAATTTGAATTTATTTTAATGTATAATTATATATATATATATATATATATATATATATATATACATATTCTAAAATATAATTTATATTAATTACTATAATATAAAATATAGATTCCACAATATTACTAAAATTTATATATATATTATAGAAATGAAAATAAATTATATTTGAGAATATATAATTTTGATAGAAAATTATATATAATTTAACATTTTGAATTCTGAAAGGTTTTCTCTAATAACAAATTAAAAAACATAATATTCAAAAAAATATTTTAAGATTCGAGTCTCAGGGTTGTATTTCGCTCGAGCGATTACACTCTCGCTCGAGCGAAATAACATCCTGATCGATCATAATTTGAAATGATCGATCATAATTGGAGGATATCATAGCGGTTCCCCTGTAACCGCTATTTAAAGTATATATTAGATAGCGGTTATGGTTTAACCGCTATTACAAGTTATATTTCGCTTGAGCGACATTAAACTCGCTCGAGCGAAGACACCTGCACATAATTTTCATCCTCCGGTTGTTTTTCGCTTGAGCGAAACTGATCTCGCTCGAGCGACTAGCAAAGTATGATCTCGCTCGATTTATTTTAATCGATTAAAACACGTTTTAATCGATTAAAACCACTTTGAAAGTCAGGATGATCGATCAGAATGTAATTATGACCGATCAGAGTTCGTTATGATCGATCAGAATTGAATTATGACCGATCAGACTTATTTCAATCGATTAAAACAAATTTTAATCGATTAAAATGACTTGAAAATTTTTGTACAGAGTTTCAATCGATTAAAACGAATTTCAATCGATTAAAATGACTTGGAAAAAATTATGTGCAGGTTTTTAATCGATTAAAACTTCTTTGTATCGCTTAAAATAACTTGAAAAGTGTTATAAGAAAGTTTTAAACTGAATCAATCGATTAAACCGCGAATCAATCGATTAAATCACTCTTAGAAAATGTTTGTAAAAAGTTTTAACTGATAAAAACTTGGTCGTATCAGACTAAAACAATTTCGTTAAAGAACAAGAACGCATTAATGGGTTGAAAGGACTTTTAACAGATTATAACTGCTATTTCAACAGATTAAAACAAACTTTGAACAGATTAATTAATGCAGCTTTTTCGAAAACTCTTTTATAAACAGAATTGCTTGGAACTTTTATCATATCGAGTGTTCTTAAAGAATGGTTCTTAAAGTGTTCCATCAACAGAATTGCTTGGAACAGAGTTAAGGTTTAACCTCTATTATAAGCTCCCTTTAAGAATGGTTCTTAAAGTGTTCCATCAACTCCCTGCTGCTTCTCAATTCCTGATTGAATCAGTGCGTAGTCGGATTAAAGAAAGTAGAGTCGGATGTTATTGCCTTTGCCCCCACGCCAGCTTGCTCTCTAATCCCACTGCCGATTGGATTGAACCGAAAAAGCGGAGCTTAGGTAGGCTACAGCAACTCTCAAAGCGTGAGAGTTGAGTCTCGGGTTGCATTTCGCTCGAGTGACTATATCTCGCTCGAGCGAAAACGATACCTGATCGATTAGATTTTTGAAATGATCGATCATAACTGGAGGATATAATAGCGGTTCCTCCGTAACCACTATCTAAAGTGTATATTAGATAGCGGTCCAAGTGGAACCGCTATCATATACAACCAAATTTTTAATTTCTTCAGTCTCGGGGTTGTGTTTCGCTTGAGCGACTATATCTCGCTCGAGCGAAATATGATTCTGATCGATTAGATTTAGGTAATGATCGATCATAATTGGAGGATATAATAGCGGTTCCTCTGAAACCGCTATCTAAAGTGTATATTAGATAGCGGTTCCAGTGGAACCGCTATCATATACAACCATATTTTAATTTCTTCAGTCTCGGGTTGTGTTTCGCTTGAGCGACTATGTCTCGCTCGAGCGAAATATTGGAGGATATAATAGCGGTTCCTCTGTAAGCGCTATCTTAAGTGATATATAATAGCGTTTAAGATTTAACCGCTATTAGAAGTGATATATAATAGCGGTTATGTTTTAACCGCTATTAGAAGTGATATATAATAGCGGTTAAGTGTTGTTATAATAGCGGTTAAGATTTAACCGCTATCATATATTGCAGGGTAACAGCGTCTTTTCATTACTTTCATCTCTTTTCTTCGCACCTCAGCGAAGAAACTCTCTCTCTCATCTCCCCCTTTTCCTCGCCTGCATTTCGTCGCAAATCAGTTCAACCAAACGTGGGTGAATCTCGTGTTTCTGTCTTCGTGAACAGTATTTCGTCGCAAATCAGTTCAAACAAACAGGGGCTAAATGGAATCCAATGATTCAATGAATCAGGCACCATCATTGTCAGTATCAAATGGGTGTTATGAAATACAAATGATAGGAATCTGAATAAAGTAAATAGTTTTGTTGGCAGGGGATCACAACCCATTTTATTTACTTATTCACTCTGCTGAATAATAAATAATATTGAAGGTAGCTTGGGTAGCTTCTGATTGTTGTTGCCTAGTCAACTCCCCTGCGCGTCCTAATATTTCCTATTTCTAAATGTACTAAATTTATTAGGTTTTTTAAAACTTTAGTAAAGGTTGTGATTTATGAGCAACTTATTCTGTTTACTCTTTTGAATTTTGCAACAAATTGGGTCAATTCGTCGTTTATTGACCAGTAGCGCGTCATCGTCATTCTTTAGTTCACCCCAATGGCTTCTTCCAAGTATGAGAAATTGCAGCATTAGGGTGTGACATTGAAGTGCCAATTTTGACTAATATAAAAAATAGCCCCCAAAAAGGTTTTTGTAATTGACTGAGATTGGAATGATATCAAGGACTCATTCAGTAACCTGATGTGCTTTTGAAATGAATTAGAAATGAGTTTTATTATTATTATTATTGGGAGGTCCTGTGCTTTAATTTTTAATTCTTAATTTTCAATAAAACCTTTTTAATAACTGTTGTGCTAAAGATAATGCCATTGAATACCATTAAAAACAAGTAAAATGAAGTAAATCATATATTTGAAAGTTAGGGGTAAAAACTCCCCTGAAAAATAAGATTACTTTTTAGAATATACATTCAATTAAACAAATAAATTAGTAAATAATAAAAATGTTAGAAAAATAAATATTTCACAGCTAATACTTGAAAAATGAAAAAAGTTATTATACCTTTTTTTTCAGATGATATTGTTATAGTATCTATTGTGTGCAAGGTTTGGGTCTATTATTTATTTTAAAAAAAATAGACAAATGGCATGAAAAAGAAAATAAGATAAATCAATGCATTTTGAAACTTTGTCCAGGCACCAATGGATGATAAGCGTTTGGTGGCTATGTCATTGTCACAATCTTCCTCAACAGTTACCAAGCTTAAATAATACATTACATGATTGATTCATATATTCTAATTTTTCTTAAACTCAAAGTTATCATATAATTATAGGTTATATTTTCCTCTTATCATATTTTTGGTAGGTAAAACCAAACACTGAATGTTAATAACAATGAAGTTTTCTAAGGATTTATGAAGTTTCATCCCATTAAATTTGTCACAAACAATGCATCATACTCATATGGTGCGTTTATTCATCTCCATTCTTCACCATCAAAATCACTTACTTACCTATCCTGTAAGATTAACTTCTTATCTTTTCCTCCATCTTCATCTTCTTTAGTAAGATGTGTTCGATGTAACAAAATATATTAAACTTTTACAAGAGTTAGAATTGAATTTAAAGATGTTTTGGGAGACTGAAGTCAACAAGTCAACATTTTACCACATTAGTATATAAGATTTAGATATATTTTTAATTTCTTAAAACTCAACTAATTTTATTTTGTCATCTAAATTTGAAATTTTAATCTTTATAATTTTAAAACATAGATGTTTTTATCCTTATCTCAATACAATAAAACAAATAAAATAACATTTTTCATGTAATAATTATCACAAATATTTATTTTTAATATAATTAAAATATTATGTTTAATCATACAATTAAATTTTCATCTTAAATGTTAAAGAAATAGTTAATTTTAGGTAATATTTGAATTAATTATTTTAATATTTGGAGTTGAATGATACTTAAATTCATATATATATATATATATATATATATATATGAAATTATAAATTATTCATGTAACAATAAATTAATAAATTCTTTAATAATAATAATTAAATTTTTAATTAAATATCTAGTCATTTATAAAAAAATTATATTAAATATAAATATTTACCATAATTATTATATAAAAAATACATTTTACTAAAAAAATTTATTTTATATAATAAACAGTTAATGTTGAATAATATATTTCAATAATGAAATACCCAACATTTGTTTTTTAGGTCAATTTTATATATAATATTTGCATAATATGTGATTTTATTCTACCATCATTTCTAATTTTTCTTTTATTGTGTTCATTTCTACATGAAACATAACATGGTGATTGGTAAGATTTGTGGTACTACAATGAAATGAAATATATTTTAATATTACGATAATATGTGCTTTTTTATTTATTTTTTAAAGATAATAATGCAAATCATAATATTTATGTAAAAATATTTAGAAAAAAATGAAAGATCTGATTAAAGATATTTAAAACATATTTATAATAATTATTCAATGTATGAATTACATTATGGAAATATATAAAATCATAACTTCAAAATCTCTCTGAGTACATGCTTTTAAATTAACACTATTTATTTTTATAAATGTTAACTTTGTTTGTCTGATTCAATGATTTAGATTATCAGAGATAAAAAAGTACAACAAAAATAAATATTTCCTAAGTATATGTATTTATTTATTCATTTTATAAATGCTAACTTTGCTTGGAAATTAGAAACTAATATGTTAACACCATGAAATTTATGTATCCAAATATTCTTAATTCTGCAAAGAAAAAAAGGATAATCAATTAAAATGAAATAATTCAATATTATATATATATATATATATATAATAAATAAAAATTATATTTAGAAACTAAAAACAAATAAAAGATGAGTATAATATCTAAATGTTGATTGATAAAAAAGTGAAAGGAGTGAATATTAACTGTATGATTATAGATTAAAGATCAATTTATGTTTTCCCTCAAATATTACAGTTTTAACCGTTAAACCAAGTGGAACAGAAAATAAAAAAAGGTTAGGTAGTATTTTTATTTTTAATATTCTCACATGATAGTATATTGGTATCTACACATGTCTTTTAATTCAAATAAATTTATCAAGATTTTGTTTAAGAATTGGGCGACATATTTATTTTTCTAAGCAATATTTTTTAAAACATATATCCATTTTTGTTTTTTATAAAACTATTTAGTCTAATACAATTTAAATTTTCCTTAAAAAAAATTCTAGACGTAACTTGAAAAACACATACTGAATGAATTCAAACTTGAGATTATATATTTTAATTATTAAATAATGAATCAAGATATATTTTAATTATTAAAATAAATAAAATCAAGATAATGGATTTTGATTTCAATAATCACATGTTTCATGAATATCGACTTTATTAACTGTTGTGATAATGATTTAGATTATGTAATTTAAGATGACAATAAGTCATGGTTTAGATTATGTAATTTAAGATGACAATAAGTCAAAATTAATCAGAACTTTGACCACGTGGTATGGGTATGTGTGGCCCAGTTGTTCTATTAACACGACCCATAGTTTTCACAAGCATACACTCAGTTCTGGGCCAGGCCCATATCCTACCACCCATAGTTGTAGGAATAGAAAGAGAGAGGAGTTATTAAAAATAATAGAAAAATAAAGAAAACTCACAACAGTGTTATGTTTTGTAATTGTGCTGTAGGGTTTAGTGGCCACCTACGTTCAGCTATTACTCCTCTCTCCAGAAGCCGAAACCCTCTGCAGCTTCTGTTTTCTTCTCCTCTTCTTGTTTGCACTTTTCGCTCTCCCAATCAAGGCTTCTCCAACGGCAATAATGGCCGAAACTTCATTGATCCAAACGGAACCTCCGAATCCGTTGGATCCTTCGACCAGTGCCATCACTCCCTTGCCGAGAAAAATAGTATTTATTCCCGTAAAGAAGCCCTTCCCGGGTTTCTCCCACGATTTCCCCATCGAAACCCTAAACCCTTCCTCCTCTGCCTCCGAACCTGGAACCTCCGGTTCCGCCCCCAAGAAACACGACGCATCCGAATTTTCCGAGTACGGCTTGGATCCGGAGCTCAGCTTCGGGATTACCTTCCGCAGAATAGTGAGTCCTATTTCGTTTCAGAATTTGAGATTATGCCTAGGTTGCGCTTAATTCGGAATGTTATTCCATTGCTAGGGACATTTTGATTTGTCCTGCTTTATCGTTAAGCCTTAAGCTATAAAACAGATAATAGTTTCGCATGATTGGTTTTGAATGGCTTTGGCATGTTATAGTTTTATACCTTCTCATTACCGAGGATGCTATTCATAAATTTCAGGGAGCTGGATTGCGAAATCTGGGGAACACCTGTTTTCTCAATTCAGTACTGCAGTGTTTGACGTATACAGAGCCTCTAGCCGCGTATCTGCAAAGTGGGAAGCATAAAACTTCATGTGAGCAGCTTTGTCCACATTTAAATTTACTATTTTCTTCTGTTACACTTGCCTTTTATTTTTATCAAAATGCTTTATTTACTGTTCGCTTTTGCCTTGTTGTACCCGATCGGCCTTGTAAATTAGTACAGTTCAACAGAGTTATTTTTTAGGTTTTTCATAATTTTTCCTTTTAGTTAGCAGTGATGCATATTTCTGAAGGGAATGTTTTTCACGCTGATTTTCTAATTATATTTCGCAATGCTTGCAGGTCACGTTGCTGGATTTTGTGCTCTGTGTGCTATACAAAATCATGTTAGTCGTGCACTGCAATCAACTGGGAGAATATTATCCCCAGAGGATCTGGTTTGCAATCTACGATGTATCCTTTTGTTTTTTTGTTTTTATTTATGAGTGGACAATTATGGTTCATTTCTTCTCTATCATCATTTTGTTTACAAAGTAACGAGTTTTGTCCTTATGCATATTCTTAGGAAATTCCCTCTTTCTGACTTCCCTTTTCATATTTTGAATGCAAAAAATATTGTAACAGTAGTACAAAGTTTATTATTCTTACAGCTCATAAGGTAACAAGGCTTGGTAAATATATCTAAATTTAAGAACTGATTTCATGTGCTTGACTCTGTTAGATTAGGCATAATACTGTTTTCCTATTAGCTAAAGTGATTGCCTTCTCGTTTATTCACGAGAAATAACATCTGTTTACTGTCTCCTATCTTCTTTTATTAGCTTAAAATTTGTAATTCCTGACATAAGATCAGGCATATCACGGAATTTCCGAAATGCAAGGCAGGAGGATGCACATGAGTATATGGTGAACTTACTTGAGTGTATGCATAAATGTTGCCTCCCTTCTGGAGTACCAACTGAATCACCTGGTGCTTACGAGAAAAGTTTTGTTCATAAAATCTTTGGTGGTCGTCTCAGGAGTCAGGTATTTGTTTGTTGATTCATGGTGGAATTTTAGAGGATGTCATTACTAATTGAGCTAGGACGCACAAGACAGATATAAGATATGACATGCACATTGGGATATGGCAAAGTTTACAAATCATTGGCCATGATACTGTTATAACTCAACATCTAAATTTTAAATATAAATTTCAGGCTTAACTATATTTTGGGTTCCTGGAATACAGTCATATTTTTCATTTAGGACCTTTCCTTCATGTTAGTTTGTTTGTTGTAGATATTTTATTTTAATACCTGTAAAATATCTATTTATTTGTTCTAGTCCCTATAATGTTTTGTTCATTTTGAACTAGTTCACTTGAAATATTGATAGGGACTACAAGGAAATGATCTACATATTACATGGACAAAAACAGAATATTATTTTACAAGGACTAAAATAAAATTGCAAGGACCACACATAATAAAGAAATTTTAGAGGGGCTAAGGCCAAACATAAATTTTTAAAGACCAAAAACATATTTAAGCCTCAATTTTATAAAATAAACATTTTGAATAATGTGAAAATTCATATTTTAAGAATGTGCACTGTTTGTCAAATTAATAAAACAATGTTAAATTTTGTCTAATTATTGTAGTATCCAATTTGAATTGATATAAAAGTTTTAAAAGTTAAAGCAAAAGAAATTATAAAGCTGTTCTAAAAATAATTGAAGTGTTCATACAATATCCAATATTCTTTGGTTGCCTGTTCCAGGTGAAATGCCACCAGTGTTCTTATTGCTCCAACAAATTTGATCCTTTCTTAGATTTAAGTCTTGAAATATTCAAGGCAGATTCATTGCAAAAAGCACTTGCAAATTTCACGGCTGCAGAATGGTTGGATGGAGGGGAGAGGGAGTACCATTGTCAACGATGCAAACAGAAAGTTAGGGCTCTCAAACAGTTAACAATTCATAAGGCACCTTACGTGCTTACTATTCACTTCAAGCGGTTTCATGCACATGATCCTGGACAAAAGATTAAAAAGAAGGTTCAATTTGGCTGTGCACTGGACTTGAAACCTTTTGTCAGTGGCTCATATGTAAGTAATATAGATTTTTTAAATTGATATAAATTATTTTACCTTCTGTACCTATCTTTAATATTTGTTTTGCCATGGGCTTCTATGTTCAAATGAACATACTCAGTAAAATTTCTTTGTGTTTCTTGTTTTTGAAATACTTAATATGCAGTTTAACTGTTATGTGTTTCTAACTTATTGTATGGTACTGTTATGCTTCTTACTCTCAATTTTTTTCGTTTGGCAGGATGGAGATGTGAAGTACTCTTTATATGGGGTCCTGGTTCATTCTGGTTCCAGCACTCATTCTGGACACTATTACTGTTATGTTCGCACCTCAAATAACATGTGGTATACTTTGGATGATAACCGGGTACTGAAAATATGCTTTATATATATATATATATATATATATTTTTTTTTTTATATCGATGTTTATGTTTTTGCAAATGTTGGCACTTGTATGAATGTCAATAAGTTGGTAAAAGACAGTAAGTCTGTTTCATGATAAGGAAAACTAAATGAGAAAACAAATAAAATTATGTGTAGAATAGCATTTTTTTTTTCAACTTTATTTACTCTTCATTGTAGATGCCTCCTTGAAATGAGAGTTGATGTTATTGCATCAATGTGTACTAATTAAAAAATGTATATGGGTTATTGGTAAGTAGAAACAAAAATACCTTCAAATAAGTGCCCAAGGTAATTTTTTCTCAATTTTTAAAAGTACTACTACTTCTATGCACAGAAGTTTGATGAATTATATTTATGCTTATTGAAATGGCTTTCACTACTTGTTAGATAATGTGTCAATGAATAACATATTGCTTTGTAGAAATAATGTATACAGCAAGACACAACGGTGCCCTTTTTTTTTTTTTTTTTTTTTTGCTGTTTTATTGCATTCAGTTATTTGTCATTTTAACCTGATTTGCATATTGCAACAGGTAAGTCATGTCAGTGAGAGGGAAGTTTTAAATCAGCAAGCATACATGTTGTTTTATGTTCGTGACAGAAAAAGTATTGTTTCAAGGAAGTCTGTTGACATTGCTAAGAAGGAAAGTATTAAGAATAATGTGAACGGAATTAAAGAGTCTTCAACTTTATGCAATGTATTGAAGGAATGTCTAAATGTCCCTGGGGAGAATAAATTTTGTACTGAACCTTTTTTGACTGCTGAAGCTGGGAAGAGAATGTCAAATGATGATGACTCATCAAGAGCCTCTTCTATGAAGGATGATCAAGTTATGCAAAAGCATAGTGACATGTTAGGCGAAAATCTGATGCAAAGTAAAAAACATGGATCTGAACATTCTTCCAAGGCACAGACACAGGACTCACCAGATGGACTCTCTGTAGCCAAATCAGAACTTGGATGCTTGTCATCATTTGATCACTCTGGAAAAGATGATAGTGTCCCTCATAATCTGAAATGTTTAGCTGCTCCAGTTGGAGAAAAAAAAATTTGGAGCAATGACAATCCTCTCTCTAAAGAAGACGGCAACAGAGCATCAGTGCCATCATCCACTAATCCCCAGACTTGTGAACTTGCTACTAACGGAAAATATCATTCTTTGAAGGTAAATAATTCCAGTACTTATCCCCCTTGCGCTGAATTGGTAGGGATGTCAATTGGATGGTTTGTGTAAAATTTGAATTGGATCATAATGGACAGATTAAATAATCTATTTACGTTTTGTTATCGTAAGTGTTAAAGAATTCCTTTCTGTCTATGGTCCATTTAATTAAAACCATCGAACCCATTCATTGGTAATCATCCATTTTTATAGAATTTTATATTTTCCAAGAATTCATTTTCAATCATTGCAAAATTATTGTCAGTGCTTCAATTATGGGCATATGGTTTATTTTGCCTCACTTAAGGACGGGTGCAATTTCAGTTTTTTGGACTGAACCATCACTTAAAAAATCTTAATAAAGTTAATGATGCTGCACCTCAGGATTCAAGAACAAATATGTTCAATGACTTTTGTCTTGTAAAATCACTAATTCATCGTAATGTCAACCATCAGTTTTATGTATACTTTGTGTGCCTATTGCTCTGATCCTGATTTTTCTATGTATTGGCTTTTATTTTTTTAGCTTGGAACATCTGCAACTGGTTTCGTGTGTGAGCAAGAAAGCAGTGCGGTCCATGGAGATCCTGTTGGTTCTCAGGGTCTGGTTCTTAACGAGTCAGTAGATATATCTTTGAATTCAGAAAGTATTGTTCGAAAGCCTGTGAAAAAATCGAAAAAGAAGTTCCTGAAGTATCAGGTAGCTAAAATGTATCCTCGTCCAATATTCCTTTACATGACATACTTGGGCCCACAGAAGAAGAATCGCAAAAAAAGTAAACGTCTCATTCTGAGTAAGAAAAATCCAAGCAAAGACAACTTGGATAAGCTTGCTTTCTCATCAGAAGATTCCAAACCATTTACACTTGGAAAAACTGTTGAACTTCCTCATGTATCCGATGGTTCTGAAAGTAAAGCAACAAGGCCTGGTGCTAATGTTAAATCTAATGGTGAATCTCTGATAAAAAACGGTGCTGAAGGGGAATTTAGGAAGAGAATTGATCATAACTGTGCTGTGCTTGCATCAATGACTCAAATTGAAAGTATATCTGGGAGTGGTTCAGCAGCAAGTCAATTTAAACCTAGACATGCTGCTAATGTACGAGATAGTAGAAGAGACCAAATGCATAATGGTTTAATGAGTATGCTTACCCGAGGTTTGGAGGAGACAGTTGGTGAGTTTCTATTAAATTTTCATTATAGTTTTGTCTGGCAAGATACATTGAATTTTTGTTCCATATGCTTCTGGTTTTATGGGTCAAGTATTTATATATGTCTGCTTGCACATTTTAGCATATATAAATACTGTAGTTTGTTTTTGTGTTAATAATTAGCCACCTGTTCATGCTCTGTTAGTAGCTTGATTGTTTGACTTAGTTGTTAATATCCATGAAACCTAATCACTGTTGACTGGGTCTGTCTTTGCTGTGATTGGGGCCAATAGTTTACATTGGTGCTCCATATTTCTAAATTATAATATTGGTTATGTATAGGTAATGTGGGATGAAAATGCTTAGTTACTAAGGATCTTCATAAAATATAAATGTAATGATTGGATATCAATGAATGCTAGAATGTTTCAAGCAGATCAATAAAATATTTTTAGTATTTTTTCTACATACTTAATGTCATCTATATAATGTTTATCCTTGATGGAACTAGTTAATAATAATAATACTAATCAATTTACCTAATGATGGTTTTTATACAAAAATTACTCCCCTCTACCTAAGAAATCCTGACACCTTTATGCTTGATATATAACATTCCTATTCTTTGTTTGGATACAGTTGCACGATGGGATGATATAGAAATATCATCATCACAGCCTATGGAGTCAAAGAATGACAAGATTGTCAGAATTGGATTTGTTGGGGATGAATGGTGAGTTCAGCTATACATTGTGTTTTTCAGTGTCACGCATGCTATTATTGCTTAATGTTGGGGATGTAATGACTGCTTTTAAATAGTATCTTTCCTATGCACGTATCCACCTCTCTATGTTTTGAGTTTTGATGGGGATGACTTTGAATTATGTGTAACTGGAACCATTTTGATCCAAATTTTTTGCATATATTTACAAATTCACATTTGCAGGGATGAAGAGTATGACAAAGGAAAGAGGAAAAAGATAAGAGGCTTCAAACATAGTTTTGGTGGACCAAATCTTTTTCAAGAAATTGCTATAGAGAAATCAAAGTTGAAAAGGGCAAAGTTGGATCAATCTTGTTCAGGGAATCCTCCATTTAGGATATGACGATCTAAACTGTTTGCCTACGGGGTATCTTTGTAGCAATTTTGTCAACACCGAGTAATGAAGAGAGTGTCTACCTAATTCTTTTTTCCCTACAAATCTTTTTTTTTTTTTTTTATGCACCTGTGTTCCAGTAGAGCCGCAGAGGGTTGAATTTTTATGCACCTGTGTTTCTGTTGAACATTTTTTATTTTGAGAATGTATTTCTGTTGTAGTAGCTGCACGACGTAGCTAAAAAAATTTTGTTTATGAATTTGAATTAGACAAGAAATTCTGTATTTCAAATTTGCTACCAATTTCAGGTATTGAACTTGTATTTTACTTTTTGTTGAGATTGTCTTAGGTATTATAATTGTATTTACAATTAATTTCTTGAATTTTTTTAGATAAATTATACCCATTCATAAATTTAAGATAGCCGTCGATTGAATTGCATACTAGATTTTTTTTTTGAGTAAAATAAATTTTAAATGAGAAAATGGGACAATTAAAAAAGTTAAAAGTAAATTAAAATTTAAATAATTATGTAAAAGTTATAGTATTTCTTATAGTTCATTTGTTATTAAAGTTGAAGTAATAAGAATAATGAAAAGGTATTACCCATGAATATACAGTGGAATAATTTTTTTATAATAGTCTAAATAAATTATTTAAATTATGAAATTAAAAAATATAATAGATAAAAATTAGAATATATCTCTAATTATTTTTAATAATAAGAATTATATATAACTTATTTTTAATAATAATAATAATGTATAACTGATTTGACATATATAAATGTTAATGAGAATGACATATCCTTTTGTACATTGTGTATTGTGTTTGATGGTCTAGAAAGAAAAGTTTTTAAGGAAAAGTATGGAAGACATAATCCAAGTAGTAGACATTAAAGTATTAGTGGGGGATGGTATCATTATTCAAAGTAACTTTGTCGGTTGATTTCATGTTACTCACCCTTAATCAATGCAAATCATTACCCTTCATTTCCATCACCCTCTCCACTCACTCACTTCTTCTTTTCAACTTGGACCTTTGTTTATAAACTCCACACTCTCTGTGCTCCATGTTCATCAAAGACCCCAACTTGCTATGTGAAAACACCAATTCAAGATTAACTTCATTTTTCTATAAAATACTATTTTATCATCTTATCTAACTCATCTAAAACGTTTATTTTAGAGAGTCAACTCATTTAACTCAATTATTTTAATAATTTAATAAATAAAAAATAAGATAAAATTGAATTATAGAATTTTAGATTTAAAAGAATAAATTAAATTAGACTATTTTTTAACACGATGGTGATAAACTGAGTTAATTCACTTTTGTCAGCACTAATTATTTTAATAGAAACGAGGTGGAATAAACTAACAAAGTGACTGTGGACCAGTGCTAGAGAAATAGACTCTGAGTTTTTCTTTCTATATAGTCAAAACTTCTAGATTACACAAAATCTCATTGTAACCCTGAAGAGTGTACACACATACATAAGAGGGCATAATACATAAGAAAATACAACATAAACCAGACCTTGTTATCAGCAAAATAACCCTTGGCATTGGCTCACGTGATGCGACAAACTAGCCGAATGGCACAAAACCCCAAGTTGAAATCCATTATTGTTTTCAAGTGAAGAATGGTGGGCAACTAGAGGGTCCACATGGTAGATTCTTGGTTACTGCCTCTGTGTAATTGGCAACCTAGTGACCAGAGATTAAGGTGGGAAAAGGGCAAAAAATAAACCCTCCTAGGAAAATGGTGTAACAAGAAACCATTTTCTCTGTTTCAAAGTCAAAAAACTACACTATATTCTACAAAGAAACCTAGCTATCTCATTCAAATCATCCTTCAATTATTTAAGTTTTTGGGTGGGTTGTGAAACCACCATTATGCAGTTAAGATGCCGGTAACAGCCAACGAGCCCGAGGCCTCTCTTATTTTCTAGTACCAACAACATTAATTTCACTCTGTCAAAAAAACAACATCAATTTCACCACAAAGATCATCAACTTTCATGAAAAAGGGTGACACAAAATCGAGGACAGGAACATAGTATGCTAATGCTATGTGCTGGCAGAGGAGAAAGTGTTTTGTTGCCAGGACCAGGCCCCTTTTTAAAAATAATATATATAAAAAATATTATAATTATAGTAAAAGTAATAGTAAATAGAAAAATAATAAAGGCAGTTTTTACATATTTTTTTAGATAAATTAGTGAATAAGTTATAAATCTACCTAGTTATAATAATATAAATAATTAATACGAGATATTATACCAAAGAACTTATATATATAAAATAATTTATCATATAATTTTCTATTATTTTTTTATCATTATATTCTCCTCTATTACCTTTTCACACTTTTTTAGTTAATTTTATTTTTTAAACATATTATTTTCTCTTAATCATGGCAGTTGATCGACAATTATATAAATACAAATAATATACTATTAAGTATACATGTTTAATTTTTCGATTTTTTCATAAATTAAAATCCTTTATCTAAAATTTTAATTATAAATCATTTTAAAAATAAACAAAAGTTAATTTAACCACTCGATAACTGTAACATCACCTAGGTTTCTGTAAAAACACAAGAAAAATTTATATGTGCTATTTTTTTTCTCATATAATTATGATATGGATTTCAAAATGGACTTTTCTTTCTTTTCTTTTCTTTTATCCAAATGGTGAGAAACACCCTCCCTCACTCAATGAAGAATCATTGAATTCACACCAATAAATCTGATATATTCACACCATAACCAACCGTCACCCTCAATGAGTTCAGTTCCTTCCCATTTATGAAGCTGAAGCACTGAAGTGTTCATATTTCTTTCCCAGTAAACATTGCACTGCATGTTGCGCTGTCTCTGCCTCTTTTGAAGGGGGAAAAAGCCCTCTTGAAAACCAAGTTTCTACACAAAAAGTGCTGCCACAGAAACAAAGCATCACAGCTTTTCCGCAACCTGGAGTCTAGACAAAGCCAATAGTTTCCTTCTTGCATCGGTTGTTTCTTTATTTATCTTTCTTTTTGTTGGCTTTCAGGGATCCTCTCACACACAGACAAACTTACTCACATTCTCTTGTTATAGTCCACAATCTTCATATTACATCAGAGTGGCTTTGTTTTTTCTAAAGAAGTACTATTAGTTTTATTAGCTCGTGTTGTGTACTTTTACTCTCTCTCCACTACCGTGTCCTTTAGCTTGTGTCCTTATTATGCTGTAAAAGAGTTGTTTCCCCGGCTGAGAGATTTTTCTTACTGTAAACAATCCATACTTGATGATATGGTTGTGAAGTTCTAAGGGGGCATTTTCCGGTGGTGGTTTGCATCTTTTGCAAGTAACAGTCATCACTCCTTGATGGGGTTGGGAGTGTTTGGTCCTGTTATGATTTTGGTTCTCTTGTTCAAGCATTTGGCATCTCAGCAACCAAATACCGATGAGTTCTTCGTGTCCGAGTTCTTGAAGAATATGAGTTTAACATCCTCACAAGCCTACAATTTCTCTGCTTCTGTCTGTTCATGGCAAGGGGTTTCTTGTGATGCCAGTGGAAAACATGTTGTTGGCTTAGTCTTTTCTGGTATGGACCTCTCTGGCACTATACCTGATAACACCATAGGCAAGCTGGGCAAACTTCAATCTTTGGATCTTAGCCACAACAAAATCACCGGCTTGCCGTCAGATTTTTGGAGCTTAAGCTCTCTCAAGAGCCTTAACCTCTCCTCGAATAATATTTCTGGTTCATTGACTAATAACATTGGCAACTTTGGTTTGCTAGAAAGCATTGACTTGTCCAGCAACAATTTCTCAGAGGAAATTCCTGAAGCTGTTACCTCACTTTTGAGTCTGAGGGTCCTCAAACTCGACCACAACAAGTTTGCACACAACATACCTTCTGGGATTCTCAAGTGCCAGTCTCTAGTTTCAATTGATCTTTCATCAAATCAGCTCAATGGAACACTTCCAGAAGGTTTTGGTGCTGCTTTTCCTAAGCTTAGGATATTGAACCTTGCTGGGAATAGTTTGTATGGTCGTGTTTCAGATATTTCTGGGTTAAAGTCCATTGTTAATCTCAACATATCAGGGAATTCGTTTCAGGGTTCCATTGTGGATGTGTTTCAGGGAAGTTTGGAGGTTCTGGACCTTAGCAGAAACCAATTTCAAGGTCACATTCCACAGGTACTATACAACTTTAGTAGTTACAATTGGTCTCATTTAGTTTACCTAGATTTGTCAGCGAATAAGCTTAGTGGAGAGTTTTTTCAAAAGTTGAACGAATCCTTGAATTTAAAACACATCAATGTTGCATACAATAGATTTACCAGACAGAAATTCCCCCAAATTGAAATTCTCCTGAAATTGGAATATCTGAACTTGTCCAAAACTAGCCTAGTTGGTGAAATTCCCGGTAAAATCTCACGATTACGCAATTTGAATGCACTTGATCTTTCTTTGAACCATCTGAGTGGGAAAGTTCCCTTACTGAGTAGTGAACACCTCCAAATCCTTGAACTTTCAAACAACAATTTGACTGGAGCAGTCCCTCAATCTGTCTTGGAGAAACTCCCATGGATGAAGAAATACAACTTCTCCTATAATAACCTAACCCTTTGTGCTTCTGAAATTAAACCCGAGATCATGCAAACAGCATTCTTTGGATCATTGAACAGTTGTCCAATTGCTGCAAACCCGCGACTCTTCAAAAGAAGAGACACTGGACACACGGGAATGAAACTAGCCCTGGCACTGACCTTCTCAATGATCTTTGTGCTTGCTGGGCTTTTGTTTCTAGCATTTGGTTGCCGAAGGAAAACAAAAATGTGGGAATTCAAGCAATCTTCATATAAAGAGGAGCAAAACATTTCCGGTCCCTTTTCATTCCAGACCGATTCAACAACTTGGGTGGCTGATGTGAAGCAAGCAACATCAGTCCCAGTAGTAATCTTTGAGAAGCCATTGTTGAATATCACATTTGCAGACCTCTTGGCTGCAACTTCCAACTTTGACAGGGGCACCCTTTTGGCTGAAGGAAAATTTGGACCAGTCTATAGAGGCTTTCTGCCTGGTGGTATTCATGTGGCAGTTAAAGTTTTGGTTGTTGGTTCTACATTAACAGATGAAGAAGCTGCAAGAGAGCTAGAGTTTCTTGGCAGAATCAAGCACCCCAATCTTGTTCCCTTAACTGGATATTGTGTAGCAGGGGACCAAAGAATTGCCATATATGATTACATGGAGAATGGTAACTTGCAAAACCTACTTTATGACCTGCCACTTGGGGTACAAAGCACAGATGATTGGAGCACAGACACATGGGATGAAGCTGACAACAATGGCATTCAAAATGCTGGCTCTGAAGGATTACTCACATCTTGGACATTTCGCCACAAGATAGCCCTTGGCACGGCTCGAGCATTGGCATTTTTGCATCATGGTTGCTCCCCTCCAATAATTCACAGAGCAGTTAAGGCTAGCAGTGTTTATTTGGACTACGACTTGGAGCCAAGGTTGTCTGATTTTGGACTGGCCAAGATTTTTGGAAGTGGCTTGGATGATGAAATTGCGCGTGGCTCACCTGGTTATGTTCCACCAGAGTTTACTCAACCAGAATTGGACACCCCGACACCAAAATCTGATGTGTACTGTTTCGGGGTGGTGCTCTTTGAGCTAGTAACTGGAAAGAAGCCAGTTGGAGATGACTACCCTGATGATAAAGAAGCAACTTTGGTGAGTTGGGTCAGAGGACTTGTCAGAAAGAACCAAGCTTCAAGAGTTATTGATCCAAAAATTCGTGACACAGGACCAGATGAACAAATGGAAGAGGCTCTTAAGATTGCTTATCTTTGCACTGCTGACCTTCCCTTCAAACGACCAAGCATGCAACAGATAGTTGGACTTCTAAAGGATATTGAACCTACTGCTAATTAGTTAACATGATGAGAAAGAGTTTAGGTCCTTTTCTTTCATTGCATTTTTTTTTTTCTTTGATTTTCTTGAGAGCTTCTCATGCTTCCTTGGAGAAAATGTAAAGCAGTTATGAGTTCTTGAATGTTCATGAACAAAACTATCATGATGAATATACAAAGAAACCTGATCTTTCAACTATAACATCTTACTACATCATGTCATCTCTTTCTTTCTCCATCACTTGATGATGCTGATGATGATATTCTCCAATTTACACTGGTCAATATAATCCCAAACAGACATGTAGAATTTTATTTTTCATGTTTTTGCTATTATGTTTTTTTAATGTTTTACACTTCCCCCAGATTCACAATTTGAAGGAACATTGTTTAAGCCTGTCAGCTTTTCAGATAATATTTATACTATGCATCTACTTTAAAGTTATTGTCGCTTTTCTGTCAGATTTTAGTTGCATAATGAATTGCGAATATTGTTACTTTTAAACATAGTGGGTAGGTGCTGGGTTACTTTCCTAACGTACTAAAAATCATCTGAATTAAAAAAATCTTCATACCAAATTTTTAAACGTTTATTATTTTTTATATGAATTAATATGATAACTATCACAAAATGACATTAACAGAAATCCTTTTCTATTTGTTTTAAAATATTCAATCAAATGTTAAACAAAATAACAGGATATATAATCAAAATTAACTGATAAAGTTATTCAAACTTTTGAAAATGTTGACAGAAACACATGCTGATTTTACAAGTGAATGATTTTACTGTAAAAACTTTGTCAGAGATACGTGGAGTTGAAGGCAAGGCAGCTGCAAGAACCAAAAACCATCACAGAAACTTGGGGTATCATGTAGTCTCTGTCATCTTTTTCAAATGGGAGAAGAAAAAATGGAGCTAATTTGAATAAATTTTCTCATTGCTTCTTATTGAAGAAAAAAATTCACTAAAAAACACTTTTTTTTTTTCTCTCAGATAAATAATAAATTTTCAACTGTTTCTGTGTTCATAATACTCATATAAATAACACAGTAGTAAAAAATAACAAGAAAATGTGAAGTAACACTTATACCTAATTATAATTTTATACACATTATTTTATCACTCCATTGGAACTGATTTGATTTCACTTTATGCAGCGTTATCAGTGCCAAGAAGTATGTTTGATGTTGTTGAAAAAGGGTGTGCAAGACCAACTGTGTGAATGAGAGAGACATTGGAACTATTTTTGTCAACAAATGAATTAGTCAAACCAAATCAACTAATAACAAATAAATTATTATCTGCCATGAAAAACCCTAAACCCTAATATATAAAATAGTAATAATAATTTTTTTATCAGTTTTATTTAACTGAAATACACAGCATCTTATTTGGCATCACACGCATGCATGATAACATCTTGACATGCGCAGCAATGGAGACACGATGATTTCAAATAATTCGAATGGCTCTTATTCCATCATAAATATTAAAGTGTTAGTTAGGTAGGAAAATTCCACCTTAAAGGTATTTTCAAATTTCATTAATTTTAAAGACAACAAAATGTTAGAAAATTTATACTTTACGATAAAAATTGTTAAATATATACATTTTTTAAAGAATAATTTTTAAATAAATTTATTTAAAATAAAAAATATCTACGAGTACCTATATAAATATCTGAATATTAAAAAAAATCATTAATTTTTTTACATAGATAACCGTTGAGTAACAACGAATAGATTTTTTTCTTGATAGAAAGGCAGGAAATAATTAAGGAATATGTTTCATTTTGTTCTCATTTTTTTTAATTAAAAACTATTTTTTAAAAGAGTTTCATACCACTCAAAATTAATTTTTTTATTTAAAAGTGATTAACTTCTGATTTATTTTTTCCAAAGCAAGCGTTTTAAAAAGCCACAAAAAAAATTAAGAAATATTTTCTTATGTCCTATTTTTTGTGGTTGTAGTTCAAGGGTTAGAATAGTCTGAAATAATGCTACATATGATGAGACCTAAACTTACTATTATGAATATGTTTTTTTTATTTTATTTTAAATGTAAAAACAATTTTTTTAAATATAAATCAAATCCACGTATTCTATTTTAGCAATCTTTTTTATTTATTTGAACCCATGTCGGGTTCCTTTGTGAGATTTCTTTTACTGGGCTTGGCCCAATTGAATATAAAAAATATCATCAATCTAATCACACACGTTTTCAACCCAATAATGATTTTTTTTTTATTCGATGCTGAGTGGACTAAATTTAGATGCCTAGAATCATTTAACATCAATTATATAAAGAATATCTATGAAGAACGTTGTGCATTCTTCAACTATATTTTTAATTAACATAGAATATAAAAATTAGAAATTAAATTTTGTTAAAAATATAATAAATTAAAATTAGAAAAAACTTTTCGAATTCAATTCAAAATATTAAAAGTAGATATATTTCTTTTACAGCAATCCGATATAATTTTTTAAAACAATAAATGAATGAAACGCAAACATTTTTTTAACGAATTATCTTTATTATTAATTTTCCACAAATGACAACAAATAAATAAATGGTTAAAAATAATCAATATTAAATTTCTATTAAAAAAATGTAAAAAATATGAAACAACTAAACAAATCAAATAAATTGAAGGAAAATTTAACACGAAGTAATCCTATGATTAATGAAGGGCGAGGATTGAACGTAAGAAAAGTGAATTAGAGGAGGGTAGTGTGGGGATTAGAATAAAATCACGGGACCACACCACCGAGTGAGTAGTAGTTACTCTCTTCATCTTCGCTGTTTTTATTTTCTGCAGAGAAAAAAAAAAAAAGAGAGAAGGTGAATATGTCTGACGAAGAGCATCACTTCGATTCTCACGCAGATGCAGGCGCGTCCAAGACCTATCCTCAGCAGGCTGGTACCATTCGTAAGAATGGTTACATCGTCATTAAATCTAGGCCTTGCAAGGTTTTCTATTTTTTTTGTTTTTTTTTTTTTCAATTACAACGATTTTATTCGCACGTGGATTCCCTGACTGTGATTTTTACTCTGTGATCTCATCAATGGCAAAGAACTCAATTCGACGTTTTTTTTTTGTTGAGAAATTTCGATGTAGCGTCTAATTGTTTGTCTTAGATTCGATGAGTTATTTATTTCCTTAGATAGACTTTGTTTGGTCTAAAGAAATAAATAATTTGGATAGAAAGGAAGTGATTAGAGAATGGTAGGTTTTTATATTGTTTTGTATTAAAATGTTTTGAAAGGAAGTTCGGACTTTCTGTTGCTAAAAAGGAAGTAGAAAGTGGAAAGGGCCGAAAAGATTGGAACGTGAGACGTGAGATGAGTTGTTTTGATTTGATTTCGTCTTTAGTGGAGAGATGGTTTTGTGATGATGATGATGATGATAGATGCAAATAGCGTGCACCTCACATGATTCACGCATAGGATTGTGGATAATAAATGTTGAGGAATAAAATGAAGAAAGTATGAACAAGAGATGAATGAGAGTTTTTTTTATGTGGAAATATCAGTATTGGTGTTTTATGGTGTGAGTCTACCTACCATTTAGTGTGGGAGTGCACTCTTAATTCCTTTGCTTGATTTGTTGTCCTTGTGTAAAATAAAATATAGAATGTGTCCTATTTCAATTTTATAATGTCTAAAGATGGCTGCTGTCTACCTTTACATTGTCCCAATCTCCTGATTGATGACATGTCTTTTGAGTATTTTTGTGGCACATACGAGTATTATGTTTCAGGTATATTATTGTATAATCTCTAGGGCGTCTGTTGCTGTTTCTCACCCATAATCAAAATACACGCATGTAACATATGCTTCAGAAATATGTTCTTTAACAACAATAGCATTCTATCACGCATAGGTGCTCATAGATGTTGTTGTACCCTTATTGGATGTGTTCAGTACCATTGCTTGGTACAAATGAGTCCATTCATGAAACCCAGATTTTTTTTTTTTTGCTTAGCTCTTTAGTCTCTTACTAAAAATACTACAAAATGCAATTTCTCTCCTTTCAAAACTTGTATTTTCTTTAAATAATGTTATTATAATTTATGAACGTTGTATTTATATTATAAAGGTAAATATTTTATTAACTATTGCTGTTATTGTTGTTTGTGATTGTTGAGCCCACCTAATGAGATAAGATTTTGTTGTTGTTGCATGTTTTTTGTCTGTTATTATGATATGAGTTTGAGATAGCCAGTTAAGTAAACTTCTCTTTTTGTTCCCTGGATGGTTTTCAATTTATCTCAACAGGTTGTAGAAGTTTCTACTTCAAAAACAGGCAAGCATGGGCATGCAAAGTGCCACTTTGTTGCAATTGATATTTTTAATGGGAAAAAGCTTGAAGATATCGTTCCATCATCCCACAACTGTGATGTAATATTCTGCATTCACTTATTTATTTTAAGATTTACTAGTGATGCATTTCAATCATAATTGCTCTTTTTGCAGGTTCCACATGTGAATCGCACTGACTATCAGCTGATTGATATATCCGAAGATGGCTTTGTAAGTTTTCTTTTACTTCCAACTCCAGCTGGTGGGTTGTAAAATGAAAAAGAGGACAAGAGAAATTAACATCAACTACATTGCTGAGGATACCATCTTCTGAGAATTGAGATTATCCTTTGTTGAAGATTACTTTGAAAGATAAATAATTCCACAACATGGAGAAACTTAAACCTCACATTGATTTTACTCTTTTTATTATTATTATTATTATTATTATTGAAGTCTTTACATTCAATTCAATATAAGATCCGCCTCTTTGGGTAGATAATCCAATATGCCGTTGGGTGCACTTCCAACTTGATATATTTTTAATAATTTAAATTAAAAAAGTAAAAGGATGCTAAATTATTACCCTAGCTGAAAGTCAAGCGAGAATGTCACCAGAAAGTAAAAACAGTTAGATTATTATGATTTTTCTGAGAGTAGCAAAGCATTCTTAAACGATTGGTGTGCGTTTCTTTTAGGTGAGTCTGTTGACTGAGAACGGAAATACCAAGGATGATCTGAGGCTTCCTACTGATGACGCGCTGCTCTCTCAGGTGTCTTACTGAAATCATTTTTAAAGCTGGTTTCCTTTCATGAAGTGTTTTATTTGAAGATTTGGTTTTATGCCCAATAGGAACTCTGCCTTGTTAATTGATTTATTACCCGTTTGCTTCTGTATTTAGATTAAAGATGGTTTTGCTGAAGGAAAAGATCTTGTGGTTTCTGTCATGTCTGCAATGGGAGAAGAGCAGATCTGTGCCCTGAAGGACATCGGTCCCAAAAATTAAAATGATGCTATGGCTATAGCTATAGCTGATAGCAAGCTTTTTATTCTCATGTTGCTAGCAGGTAGTATACTTTCCGATGCATGTGTGCAAAATAAATTTCATCAGATGGAAATTTACCTGTGCTTGAAAAACTCAAATGCTTGCACAACAACGGTCTTGGATTGGATGATATTCTCATAAATGTCTCATACTTATTTGTTTTTGTTGATTTTAATATATATTCCTACTGCAATACTCTTTAGTGAATGTCTGGAACACTTGGTTAACCGGATATGCCCAAAGATTCAATATAATGAATGTTAGCCATCTTCATTTTGGTATTAGATGGTAAAATTAACGACTTTTAACTTTATTTATACTTTCAGCCTTTTTGGTAAAAAGAGTGATATTTTTTACCTCTTTTGTTCATCACATTTCTTATCTCTTCTCATTTTTTCTAGCCTTCTAAACCATGACTAGGAATGAAGTTTTTTTATAATATATTAATATAGGGAATGTCTACGATGCACACTAGCTGCTCTGCTTAAATGGTGCACAATTGGTATTACCTGGTACAGCTGGTATTTGAAATTATCATATCTATGTTTTATACCTTTGGACATTTTACAAGACTCAAGTTACTGCATATTTAGAACAGGTCTTGCACTTATGATATGGTGAAAGTGCATTTTTTCTTCTCCAAGAAGTATCTTAGTTTACGTCCACCTTTTAGACATCTAATTCTTCACAAATTTATAGCAATTTCCATTTCTGGAATAACTATAAAGAGAGATTTGACCTCCTTGTTGCACCATGTGATTTAAATCATAATCCCGACGAAAACGACAATGTAGCCAACGAATTCATTATCTATTCCATACTTTCATTCTTATGAAGGGCTACAATATGTTGCATTTCCTGTATTATACTCACGGATCATGATATCGCACAAACTTGGTAATCCTCAAAGTGAAGAGATCATACACTAAAATTTGGTGAAGTTTTGTGGTTAGAACAAACCTGCATCGCGATTTGAAAACCATGTCAAACTTGGACCACCAAATATGTAAGTCTTTCTATTAATTTTTATTCTCATTATTTAATTATTACAAATGAAGTAATAAGATAGTGTATCGGGGAGGAATATATATATTCCAATTATTTTAAAAACTATCTAAGTGAATGTAAATAATTTTTAATATGAAAACATAAACTTTTACCTACAGCAAACAATTGTTTTGAGCATCTTAACTGCAAAGTTCTATTTAGTTAAGAATATAACCGGTGAACGGAAAATCTAGCTTATCCAAGCACTTATTATTGTCCTTGAAGTGCGACATCTCAATCTGATCACATGTTATAATTCTCAAAATTTCTATTTCTCAAAAGTAGTTTACATTTTTCTCAACAGTATATGACAAAATCTTCATTTTCTAACTTTGATTGACTAGTGTTTAGATTCATTGTATCATGCGTTATAGGGGATTCGAATAAGATTCCTTCTATATGAAAAACTTGTCGGACAACTTATGAAAATTTGTGGTAAAAGTAAGAAATTTCACTCTCCTTAAACAGAATTTGTGTTAGACTTACAACTATACTCACAATGTTTGCTTATGTTGGATATACTGAATTAACTTCATTTTTGGAGCTTGACTTCTTTGCTTTTCCAGTTGTTACAAAATTAGTGAAGATGTTGGCATAAACCACCTAAATTCATCTTTGTTTATTGATCGTTCTCTACGGAATACAGTGATGAAAGAATACACAATTAGAGATTTGAATCCACTTACTATATGTGTGAATTTGAGTTACAAAAAATATAATAATAAATGTATAATAAGAATTTTTTTTAATAAAAAATAATTAATTTAGAGTTTACTTAATATAATTTTGTTAATTATTTTAGAGTTATGGAAACACAATATGCATTCAGGCTCGTCTGATTATACAGGTTAATTAAAAATAAAAATAAATGACTCAAATTTATATTTTAAAATATATTATAATTTTTTTTCATAATATAATATTACGTTAGGTCATCTTAATAAACCAATTTTAACTCAAGTAAAAATAAAATAAAAAGTAATATATTTATATCAAAATAATTAATTTAAAAAATATTAAATAAAAATATATTTTTAAAATTTAAATTATATTAATAAAATTAATTTTTATTTAAATATAATAATTTAACATATAAATTATAAAAAATATATTTATTTACTCTAATATTTGTGTTAATTATTAGATATTAGAATAAGTGAGTATTAGGTTTATAATAAGTAAATTCTTTATCAAAATAATTTATATATATATATATATATATATATATATATATATATATTAATAAAATGATAATATTTTTTTTATTTAAGAATTCCTAATAAGTTTAGGAACTAATTTAACATAAATTTATTTAAATATGATCTAAATAGGAAAGATTAAGATGGGCGTAATTTAATTTAGGTATAATATTTTTTAATTTGGCTTCTTTTTTTATCTTTCATAAAGTCTATCTATCTAACCTTCCTAATTATTTTGAGTAATTTAATTCAATTTTTATAAATTTAATCTAGTTTAATTTATTCAAACAAAAGTTTTAATAATTTATAGAAATTTATCAATATTATAAGTGATTAAATTTCAAGAAAGAATTAGAATCTCATATTCAATAAAAACAAAAACATAAAATTAAATAATATAAATAAAAAAATTAATAAATTTAATATCTTAATATTTTAGATTAAAATAAACTTATTTTTTCTTGTATAATTATATTATGTTTTATAGTTAAAAATTACAGTCATTTAACTTGTCGTAATAAATACAAAATGAGGCAAGGGAGTTGAAAAGAAAGATGATTCTAAAAAACAAATATTCACAAACGAAAAATAGAAATAATGAAACAGAGTACATAAGGGGAAAATAAAAATAATGAACACAATATCGAAAAGACCTAACATAAGTGATAAATGACAAGTAGAGGATGATATAATAAAACTTGTTAATTCTAATGTAACATCATATTGATTTATCACACAAAAATAAGAAAAATAAAGAACAGAGAAAAAATAATTCAAAGACAATGATAATATTAATCTGTGTAATATCTAAATAGTTATATATTTTATGAACAAATATGTACATAATATATAGCAATGTAGAGGAAAAGTTTTAAAAGAAACATAATTAATTAACTTTTTAACTTGACTATTTATTAACAATCCTTCTCAAGTAAAAAATGATACATCAACAACATCAATTTGTTCTCTAAGATTTTTGAACCTTTCAAACTTCAAAGTTTTTGTCAAAATGTCAGCAAGTTGTATCTCAAACCTACAATGCTCAACTTTTAATTTCAATTTGAACATTGCTTACGGATGAAATGGAATTTGGTCTCAATGTGTTTGCTTCTACCAAGAGAGGCTAGATGTTTGGCAAGATCTATTTCCCATTTGTTATCAATTAACAACTTCAATTTATATGCTTGTTTTACCTTCAATTCTTTCATCAGTGAACTCAACCAAATTGTTTAACAAGCTGCTTCAAAGACAGCTATATACTCAGTCTCACAAGATGAAAGAGCTACATTAGTTCCTTTGTAGAACTCCAAGAAATTGGTGTTTCTCCAAGGAAGAACATGCACCCAGTCGTGCTCTTTCTATCACTCTTATCACCACATCAATCAACATCAAAATACTTCATCAACACATCATCCCCTTTTTATAGCAAAATTTCCAGATTTTCAGTTTCATGGAGGTATCTAAGTATGCGCTTCACTACAAGAAGGTGTGATACTTTTGATTCTTGCATATATCTACTCACCAACCTAACACTGAAATTCAAAACTGGTATAGTGTTAGAAAAATACCTCAGGCTTCCAACAATGCTTCGGTATTGTGTAGGATCAACTCACTCTTCATCAGGATTTTTATCAAGCTTTAATCCTACTTCTGCAGGTGTGTTGGCATGATTACTTTGTTGTATTTCAAATTTCTTCAACATATTATGAGCATACTTTGTCTAATGTATAACAATCTCATATGGAGTTTGCTTGAACTCAATACCCAAGAAATAACTCAGATTTCTTAAGTCACTTATCTCAAACTCATTTAGAAGTTCATTCTTGCAACAAGCTATCAACTCTTCATTACTATCAGTGATTAAAAAATAATCAACATACAAACATATGATAATTTTTTCAACTTTGTTATTGTTCTTTCAAACTTTTACATAGACTCCATGTTCGAACATACACTTAACAAAGTCATTTTGTCAAGAAAATCATCAATTTGCTTGTTTCATGCTCTTGTGCTTGCTTAAGCCCATTTAAGACCTTTTTCAGCATATACACTTTATGCTCAAATCCCCTAGGTTGTTGCACATAAACCTCTTCTTCAAGAGGGTCATTCAGAAAAGCTCATTTAACATCTAACAGGTGTAAGGACCAATTAGCATTTGTGACAATAACAATCATCAATCTAATGGTTTCGATCCTAGCAACAGGTGCATAGTCTATTCCAGCTCTCTGCAAGAAGCCTTTAGCTACAAACCTTGTTTTGTATCTTATAACCTCACTCATTTGGATTTACTTTAATCTTATAAACCCACTTGAGTGTGATTGACTTATTGTCTAGTGACAACTTAACAAGCTCTCAGGTCCAATTCCTTTTAATTGAATTAATCTCCTCCTGCATAGCTTTCCACCAATGAACCTCTCTGACTGCATCTTCAAACATGATTGACTCAGATTCTGCAATGATTGCAAAATGCATTAGATTTTCCCCTACTGACATAGTTGAGTCACTAAACACTTCATAATCACTAAGATGAGATGGGAGGTATGCAACTTTGGATGATCTTCTCGCACCATGATCAACAGGTTTGTTTTGTTCCACTGGATTCTCATTTTCAAATAACACTTTGGAAGCATTTGAATTCTCTTTGGTAGTTGTCCATGTCCAGCTGGTTGACTAATCGACAAAGATATCCCTATTAATTGACACATATTTTGAGAT